CACTACTGCTGAGGATGACTTTGAACTCTGTAATCCTCCTGTCTCTACCCAACTGACTATGCCTAACTTCCTCCCACACCTTTTTAATTATTAAATGACATCTTACTGTGTTGCCTAAGAAGGTTCTAGATTTCTGGGTTCAAATGATCCACCTCCTTCAGCCACCCGGCTAACGAGGAAGACGCCACTGTGCTCAGTGAGTTCATAGTCCTGTGGCCTGCTTTCGGCTCCATTTCAGCCACAGTGGACTTGTACTTAGCATCTGAAGATACTCTTATAGACTCAGCTGTTCAGGATGCACAGTTTGAATTGTGACTTTTTTTTTATTGTTAGGTAATTAGGTATCATATACCGTCAATTATGTGTACGACTTGTTTGTGTGGGTTAATGGACAGTTACAGTGCATCTGAAGGAAAAGACCTCAGCTTTAGACTGGATTTATTCACCAATAGCTAATAATGTTTAAGGCAGCAGATCCTTAAAGGTCTCAGGTTAAAAAAAAGGGGGGGGGGCGGGCTCTGGAGTAAAAACTTTGGGTCAAATGAGCATTTTAAGAAGTATTTCAGCCGGGCGGTGGTGGCGCACGCCTTTAGTCCCAGCACTTGGGAGGCAGAGCCAGGCGGATCTCTGTGAGTTCGAGGCCAGCCTGGGCTACCAAGTGAGTTCCAGGAAAGGCACCAAAACAACACAGAGAAACCCTGTCTTGAAAAACAAACAAACAAACAAACAAACAAACAAAAGCATCTCACTTTAGGGATTGGTGATGTAGCCCAGTACATGTCAGGTGCTGCTGAGACTTGACCTGACTGAGGTAGGGAGGGGATAAAGAATGAACAGACACACTGGGGTCACGTGACCCATGCTTGCTCTGACGGAGAGCACCTACTATGCACAGCAACCCAGAACCTTATCAAATTTATTGTATATTGGAATTTTATTTAAATTTCTACAAAAAATAAAATAAACTCATTTTGAGATAGTCACCTGTTTGTCTAAAGGTCCAAAAACTCAGTTAATTATCTGGAAAAAAAGAGAAAAAAAAAGATGTTCCCTGTCAGTTAGGAAAATTCAAACTAAGCACAACATACATTTAGCAGGGCGGTGTTGGTACATTCCTTTAATCTCAGCACTCAGACAGAGGCAGGCGGATCTCTGAGTGTTTGTAAGTTTGACTCCACCATTTTCCTTCTAAAAGCTTTACCCATTCGTGGCTTTTTATTGATTTTTTTTTTCCAAGACAGGGTTTCTCTGTGTAGTTTTGGTGCCTGTCCTGGATCTCGCTCTGTAGACCAGGCTGGCCTCGAACTCACAGAGATCCGCCTGGCTCTGCCTTCCGGGTGCTGGGACTAAAGACGTGTACCACCACTACCCAGCCAAGAGGACATATTTTATTATTAACCTAAAATCTTAGCTATTTGGCCAATATTAATGTATCTATGTTTTCAGGTATATAAACTAAGGAAAATAATACTGTTTAAAAATGACATTCATCTGCCCAAATGTCTCTATGAATATTATTCAAATACATGTAATTCTATAGCAGAGATTTTACCAAAAGACAAACAAACAAAAAAACCTGCAAAAGAATGTCTTCCATATATCCAGGTCAACTTGGGCTGTATTTTATCCTAACATGTGGTTAGTGCTCATGCAATAAGAGTCACTTCTTTTTCTAATGTTTTAGCAAATCATTAGATATAGCAAACTGTATAGAAAGCATATTTCCAAGCGAACATACCAGCTTATAATCAATTTATTTTGAGCCAAGTCAACATTGATTTTTTTCCCCTAAAGGGTGGGACATGGTTTGATGGGGGGGGGTTTGTTTGTTTTGTTTTGCTTGTTTGTTTTTGAGACAGGGTTCCTCTGTGTAGCTTTGGAGCCTGTCCTGGATCTCACTCTGTAGACCAGGCTGGTCTCTAACTCAGAGATCCGCCTGCATTTGCCTCCCTAGTGCTGGGCTTAAAGGCGTGTGCCGCC